ACGAAGTCTTGCCATCCTCGCTTCTAAGTTTAAGTCTTAGTTTCTCTGCCACAGATCAAAGTCAGCACAAGTTTTACTATCCTGCTCCTCTAGGAACTTCTGAGTAAGCCTGCCCCTCAATGGTCAGAGAAGACCTGGAACTGAGACAGCCCACATTCTCTTATTCCCAGTGCAACATTTGCAGCCCATCTCAGAAATAATGGTGTCCCCAATTCACATTAGGAGCCCTGAGTGACACAAACGATTAAGTGCTCCACTACTAGCTGAAAGGTTGGTGGTTCAACCCCATTCAGAGGTGCCTTGGAAGACAGGCCTGGCGACCTGCTTCCAAAAGGTCACAGTCTTGAAAACCCTATGGAGCAGTCCTACTCTGCACACATGGGGTCGCCATGAGTTGGAACTGACTTGACGGCAACCAACAACAGAAAAAACTCACGTTGGTTTGGAGTATTACTAACTATTCTATTAACCAGAGCCCTGACTTCTATCTTAAAGTCTTAGGCCCTTCATTTTATAGACTCTAGAAAGGATTGCAGAAACTGTATCACATAGACCCGCCCAAGGAACTGATATCCAAAGCCCCCGTGGTATAATCAGGTCACCTTAATGCAGTAGGATAAGATGGACCCCCATCTGGTAGGATTTGCAGCTTGTACCAGAGTAAGCAGCCATCTATCTAACCCAGCAGGCTGCCCTTCTGGGAAATGCCCAGCCTGTGCTGTGTTGTTTCTAGACCCCATTCCCAGCCACACTATCTCACTGATGCCTAAAGACATTAATGCTCTGCCAGGAAGGAGAGTCTATGGGTGGGGACAAGGACAGCAGCACACTGAAGATTTATGATTCCTTTGCAGACCTTTCCATCTCTGGGCCATGCAGAATTGTGGGACTCACCCTTGTGGGCAAAAAGACAGCCGAGCAGCTGAATTTCACAGAAGCCAAGGAGGCGTGTAGGCTACTGGGACTAACTCTGGCCAGCAAAGCCCAGGTTGAAACAGCATGGAAGAATGGCTTTGAGACCTGCAGGTGAGAAATGGCTGGCTCCAATACCACTGCTGGAGCTCTCTTGGCTCTAGGTTCTTGTTCAGCAAGAGATGGTGACTTCTAATCATTGTCCACTCAACTGATGTGCATTCTGTTACAGCTATGGATGGGTTGAAGATGGGTCCTCAGTGGTCATCCCTCGGATTCTCCCAAACCCCAAATGTGGGAGGAATGGTGTTGGTGTCCTGGCTTGGAAAGTTTCAGCTCTTCAGAGGTTCAAGGCCTATTGCCACAACTCATCTGGTGAGTCAGATCCACTTGGAGTATTTTCCCTGGGTATCTGTAGCTCTGTGACCTGTGTGGAAAGAGCCACCTAGAGTGGCAGCTGAGGCAATCATGGTGATGGTCATCTAATCCTCCCAAGATTATCTTTCTGACCGGGATAAAACCTGTTGCTGTTGAATTGATTCTGACTCATGGTGACCCCATGTGTTACTAAGTAGAACTGCTCCATAGGGTTTTCTTGGCTGTAATCTTTTTATGGAAGCATGCCACCAGGGCTTTCTTTTGCAGTGTTGCTGGGTGGGTTTGAACCACCAACTTTATGGTTGGTAGCCAAGTGCAAACCATTTGCTTTGCCCAGGAACCTAACTGACCAGGCTAAAGGAGGCAGAATTAGCGAAAATGTGACTGAATGGCAACATAGGGAAAGGGCATCCCAGAAAACTCAACCTCCCCCCCATTCATCTACCCACCCATCCTATAAGATAAACAGGAAGAAGGGAAGGAAACAAATGTATATAGTGCATCCTTATGGACAAAGCAATATACTAGGGAATTTGCAAGTGTTATCTCACTGAATCCTTACAACATCCCTATGAGGTAAGCTTTATCCTTCCATTTTGCAGATAAAGAAACTTAGCTCTGAGGGCTTAAGCATATTTGTCTAAGGTTTCATTACTCTAAAAGTTCAAATTTAGGTCTAAATCTGAAGCCATGATTTTCCCACATCGCTTTACAGTAGAGGAAATTCAGATGCTACATTTGACATTTTTAAGAATAAGACTTAATCTTCATTTTACGGAGGGAGAAATTGAAGCCTAGAGAGTAGAAATGATTTTCTTGAGGTCATGCAGTCGCCCCTTTTACCTTGCCTGCACCCCATGTCTGACTTAGCACAAGTGTTTTGTGTAAGTAATTTTTCAGAAAGTTTTTCTTTTACTAAATTTTCACTAGTTCTCAGTTTGTTGTATGAACCTTTGCCTGATTTAATATTATTCACACATCCTCATAAATCTAACCTTCTAAAAGTCAGATTGCTGAGCGGTCATATACACGATAGATTTCAGAACCATTGTCTAAGATCTAAGATAAATGTATACCAGCCAACATTAGCAAAAAACACCCAGAAAGGTAACACAGGTTCCAAGCAGTTCTCTGAACCAGGGGTCTTGGCATAGGAAGGGTCCTTAGAGACAATTTGTTCAATTCCCTCACTTTACAGATGAAACAACTGTAGCTCAGAATGGGAGTTTGGCTTGTTCAGTGTTCTGCAGTCAGTCAGTGGCAGAGCCAGTTCAGGAACATAGGGCTTCTTCTAACGTGTTTTTCGTCATCTCCCTTTTGTCCTCTGCCTCATTGGCCTATCACCTTTGGCTGGGCAATTGGTGGTTCACATGCATGCTTATTATCTCATAGCCAGCCCATGCCTGTCCAATCGCCTTGCCTGTTAACTGCCTAGCCTTCCTGCTAGCTGTCAATGTGATGATATGATACCCAGCCCTATGGACTAACTAAGAGGGAGCCAGAGGAAGAGGACTTTGATTTGTCTGTTTCCTCATGGTGTCTTTTAATTTGTACTCCCACTCCCTGTAATCCCTGTGTACCAAATGTTAGGTCTAGAGTGTTTCGATTCACGTTCACTATTTTTGGCAAAAATACTTCACAGATAATATGTATATTTCAAATCACATCACAACAGAGGCACATAATGTCAGGATGTCCCTACTAGCAATTATACTAAGTTTAATCATTTGATTAAGGTGGTGACTATCATCAGATCTCTTCAATGAAATTATAAAGATGTGTTTTCTCAGTTGCAATTAGTTAAGTAATCTATAGTGCAATATTTTGGCACCATGCAGATATCCTGATCCCTAACAACCTAATGATTTTTAATTAATGATTTAGGCAACCATTGATCAGCTATTATATGGGGGATGGGAGGGGTTGCAAAATGGTGGTTTTCTAAATCTATCCTTCCTAGTCCATTTATTAGCTTGCATTCTTCAATAAAGAAGAATTAATATCTCTCTCTCTCTCTCTCACACACACACACACACACACACAGACACACATCTCTTCCCTCCCCTCTGTACTACCAGGGACTCATGACATTTTAGTTTTTCAATGTGTTTTGCGTGTTACAATCAGTTTTACAATTATGATTATTCCTTGGATGTTCAAATTGCCCCAAGTTTGGCCAGTGGGAGCTCCTTCTACTTGACTCTTGTGTCTTTTATCCCACTAATATTTGAATACCTCCCTGCTTTCTGGCATAATTACACATCCCAGGCTCACTTTGTACTTTGTCTGCTGTAGCTATGAAATCAGTCATTTCTCCAAGGGGCCTGGTTCCCTCTAATGGAGAGTGGAAATTCAAAACCAAGACCTGGATCCTCAACCTCATTACTACTGGAGTTTTCATTGCTTCTCAGTTCTTTTTAGTGGACAGCTAAGAAATATATATTTTTTTAATTACGAGTTTATATTGTTATTTGCAACTAAATTTAACAATTCAAGGTTTTTTTCATTAGTTTACCTTGTTTCCTTGTTTTATATTTGTATCTTTTTTCTCTTACATGGGGAATCTTGGTTCCCAATTAAATATTGATATATCTTCTTATCCTACAATAATTTCAAAAATTATAGAATCAACACTATTAGAAGTAATAACCCTACCGAGTGATATTTAAATTTCTTTGCAGATTTTTTTTTCGTTCCTAGAAGATATTCCTCTAAGGATATACAGTCAGGGAATTGTGTGAAAAAGTGACTTGAAGAAATTCACTGCTTTGTGTGGCTATATAATCTTTTGAAATATATTAGGTTCATTTGCTTCTGTTTGTGATCAGTTTTAGAGCTTGAATTTTCTCCTATTTTGATTTTCTTGTATAGGTAAAACAATTACACGATTCAAGGGTCAACAATATATTTTTAAAAATATACTGAGAAGTCTCACTCCTAACCTTTCTACTTTGTTCCCATCCACCATTTTCATTCATTTCTGATTTATCCTTTTGTGTTGCTTTTTGCATTGTGTGTATGTGTGTGTGGTCTTCTTTTCCTTTCTTTCATATCAAAACCCAGCATATCATATACACTACTCTACACATGGCTTTTTTCACTTAAATCCTAGAAATCACTCTAAATCAGTTCACAGAAATTTCTTGTATTTGTTTTTATGGCTGCATAATACTACATTGTGTGGCTGTATCATAGTTTATTCAACAAGTTCTTTATTGTTGGATTTTTGGGTTATTTCCAATCTTTTTCTAGTAATGCTGAGTTGAATAACCTTGAAAATACGTTGTTTCATATTTATGGAGATGTATTTTCAGGATAGAAGCTTAGACATCCAAAATGTTTGTGTTTTTGCCATATTTGTGAGGATCAGAGTTACCCTAATCTTCATCCTAATGCTAATCCTAAACCTTACTCTAATTTTTTTTCCTTTTTATTGCTATCTTTGTGAGGTTTGGGTATCAAGGTTACCCTAAATCTATCCCAACCCTAATCTAACCCTTACACTCATTTCTTTCTTTATTAATATCTCTGTGAGGTTTGGGGATCAGACCAAAATGTTTTTAATGCTTTCACGCACAATGCTGTTTCAAGACTTTGCTCACACGTTCCCTCTATCAGAACACTCATACTCTTCATCACCTTGCTAACTCCTACTCTTTATCCAAGTCTCACTTATGTACAGAGAGGTGAAGGAAACGAATCCTTACCGATCTTATATATTATGCTCATACACTCTGCTAGGCCTATTCATTTATATCATTAATCCTCAGGAAAATGAAACAAAGGAGCCCTGGTGGCACAGTGGTTAAGCACTCGGCTGCTAACCGAAAGGTTGGTTGTTCGATCCCACCAGCTGCTCCACAGGAGAAAGATGTGACAGTCTTGGAAACTCAATGATTACAGCCTTGGAAACCCAGTGAGACAGTTCTACTCTGTCCCATAGGGTCTCTATGAGTTGGAATCAAATCGATAAAACGGTAGTGGGTTAAAATGAAACAAGTGTGTTATTTCTACTTTCCAAGAGAAATACCTGATACTTAGAGAGTAACTTACCTATGGTCACAGTCACTAAGGGACAGAGATGGGATTTAAATCTTGAGCTAACAATATTGTGCCATGCTACTTCCATGTAACACCTTCCATGGTGATGCCCACATATCAGTAACATACCAGGCCTAGGGTAGGTCCTCGGTATCAATATTTTTTAAAAGGTCCCCAAATGGTTCTGATGTGCAGCCAGGGTTGAGAATCACTTTCCTCTAGAAGATCTCTAAATATCTAAGTTTTAGGGTTCCAGATACTTCTGGATTCTCCTAGTTCTGTGCAATTGCTCCCGAATTATACTCCTTCACTTCTACACATCATTCTCCACTGATAATTATGTTACCTTTCCGCTCTATAGCCTTTGTTGACTTCCCGTTTGAGAATGAGCCCTATTTAACCTTTCGTATACCATATTGGGAGAGTTGTGGACCCCAGTTGAAAATTCTCTCCCCTACAGAATAATTCCAAATGATAATCATGAATCTTGATACTCTGGTCTCAATCTGTCTTTCCAGTCTCATATCCTGCTTACAGTCTTTCTCATTCCCAATCACATACACACCCTACACTCCAGCCACACTGTGTTCTTTGTCACTTTTCTAACATATCTATACTTTTAAACTTCTGGATTCTTGGATCATGTTATTCCTGTTGACTGGAATGTGTTATTCCCTCTTCCACGCTAGATGAACTGCTACTCTGTTCCACCCTGCTGGTTTTCTTATTCTTCAAATATGCTATGTTCATTCTACTTTAGACTCTTGACCTTTCTGTTCTCTTTACTTGGAATGCTTTTGCCCTAAATCTTCAGTGACTAGCTACTTTTCATCATCCAGGTCTCAGCTTAAATATCACCTCCGCAAAGGGAACTTCTCTTACCAGCCTATCCAAAGTATCTGTGCCCATAGATAGATTACCCAATAAGCAAGGTACACATGGGCTTACTTGTGCTTACTTAGTAATCTGTAGTGCACAATTATGGTGAAACCCGTGTGAAATTGTGCACTACAGATTAGTTAGTAAACACAATGAAGCCCGTGCATACCTTGCTCACTGTAAACCCATGCATACCTTGCTTACTGGTTAATCCGCCCCTGTCTGTGCCCCATCCTCCTCCCCTACTGGTTTAATCCTTAGCTGTTCAATTTTCTTTTCATTTTACCATTTATCATCCTATGAAATTTGTTTTATTTACTTTTTTATTATCCCTATCCTACCAATAGCATGTAAGCTGCTTCAAAGCAGGGACTTTGTCTTACTTACATCATGTCCCTAACACTAGAACAATGCCTGGCATAGAGTAGGTGTTTAGTAAATATTTCCTGAATGAATGCATCACTCCTCCATACCCTGCCCAAATGCCATCTCCTCTGTGGATCCCCAGTCATCTTCCCCTACCCTTATCAAAATACTTCTGTCCTCCTGGAAGCAGAAATCATGCCTTATCTGTCTCTGTATTTCTAGTTTCCAACATAGTATATTGTATTCAATGTTTTTTTCCACTGATATTCAAAAATGTTCATTTCCAAAAAGAAGAATTTAGCATATGCAAAAGAAACTGAAATGTAGTTAAAAGTTCATGGCAGACCAACAATGGATGGATGAATGGATTAACAAATTGTGGCACCCACATACATACAATGGAATACTATGCAACTATAAAGGAGAATGATAAGTCTTCCAAACATCTTATAACGTGGATGAATCTGGAGGAAATTATGCTGAGTGAAATAAGTCAACCACAAAAGGACAAATATTGCATGGTCTCACTTTTATAAAAAGTCAAGAATAGGTATACACACAGAAAGCAACGTTATTTGACGGTTCCCAGGGATGGGGGGCGGGGAGGAATCACTTACTGGATAGTGGACACCTGTTATTTCTGGTAATAGGGTAGGCAATACACAATATTAGGGAAGTTGGCACAACTGGACCAAGGTAAATGAAGACATTGAGAGATACACAAGAAAAAAAGGGCAATTACAGTAAATGTTATACAATTTTGCAGCAACAGTAATAACAACCAAAAAATATGTGTGTGCTTACATAGGTAGATATGTATGCTACATGTATATAAGAAGGTATATGTGAGTACATGCACTTGCATGTATAGGTACATTTGTAGGCATAAGTGTATACATGTTCGGGTATGCTACATATATATGGATACATATAATAAAGCACATAGGGGCACAGTTATGGAGACCTCCTAGACATATCCAAACACCTCGCAGGATTGGTTTACTGGCTTAAAGGGCTTGGGACCATAGTCTCATGGAACAACTCAGTCAACTGGCACAACATAGTTCATAAAGATAATGTTCTACATCCTAGTTTGGTGAGTAGCATCTGGGGTCTTAAAAGCTTGTAAGCAGCCATCTAAGATACAACTACTGGTCTCTTCCCATCTAAAGCAAAAGAGAATGAAGGAAACCAAAGACTCAAAGAAGAAACTAGTCCACGGACTAACGGCCCACATGAAATATGGCCTCTTCTAGCCTGAGACCAGAACTAGATAATGCCCGGCTACCACTACTGACAGTTCTGACCAGGAACACAATAGAAGCTCCCGGATAGAATGGGAGAAAAAAGTAGAACAAAACTTCAAATTCCTAAAAAAAAAAGACCAGACTTACTGGACTGATAGAGACTAGAAGAACCCCCAAGCCTATCGCCCTAAGATGCCCTTTAAACTTGGAACTGAAGCCACTTCCAGAGGTCACCTTTCAATCGAATAATAGATTGGCTTATAAAATAAACAATACCACTCATGAGTAATGTGCTCCCGTAAACAATCAACCATATGAGACCAGATGGTCAACATTTACCCAAAAGCAAAGATGAGAAGGCAATGAGGAGCAGGGAAGCTAGATAAATGGAAACAGAACAAACAGAGTGGAAATAATAAGAACGCTGACAGTGCAAAAATTGTAATCAATGTCACAAAACAATCTGTATAAAAATTGTCAAATGGTAACCCAATTTGCTGTGTAAACTGTCACCTAAAACACAATAAAATATTTAAGAAAAAAAAGTTCAGCAGAGAAGATCAAAGGATGATGCTTACTTTGAATAAAGGTCTTTTCAAAGTAAAATGGATAGTACAGAATACTGACTTAATGCATGTGTGCTCAAAATGTTTTATCAGTAGTATCTAAGACCTTGATTGGTAATTTATTTAATTTTCAAAAACTGATTGTATTAATGGAATAATGTACTTGATAGCTAGCATTCCAGCAGATGCCACCTACTGCTGCCACAAATTACTAGGGATTTAAAACAGATGCAACTTCATATTATAATATATTGCATGATTCTGCTGTTCACTAGGTATGGGATCTTGGATAAGTTACTCAATTTCTCTGAACTGCAGTTTCCTCCTATATAAATTAGTGTTTGGTAAATTGTTAAATAATGAGATAACTATTTAAACACTAAGTACCATGGTCGACTCAGAGTGAGATATTCAATATATGTTAGTTTCCTCTCTGCCACAAACAATACATTCAAAAGCAAACCTAGATCCCTGCCCTGCTCCCCTCCCGCACACCTCTTTTTATTTTAACTTTTTTTGATGAGCAGTCTGGTTTTAGCAGATCCTTTTCCTGAGGTGGCATCATATGTGTGTATTTGGCCTCATCTACTCCTTCCTGCGTTTCTTTTTTTTTTCTTTACTCATCAAATATCTACTGAGCATGTACTACGCACCATGCACAGTGCACATACCATGATGAACAAGACAGACAGTGTTCCTGCTTCCAGGGAGTTGACAGCCCAGTGGAGAAGAGTGTGATGAAAACTATGACAAGGGAAGTATATGGAGGTACAAGATGTATGCCTTGGGTCCCAATCTAATCAATAAGTCTGCCTGAGAAAGAGATGTTCAATCTGAGACCTGAATCATAAGTAAAAGCTAAATAAAGAGGGGGCAAATAGTCTTATGGGTAAAGAAAGCATCACAGCCAAAGGCTTGGATGTGAGAGAAAACATGTCAAAAACTAAAGGAATTTCAGTCTGACTGGAGCATTGAGAGAAAGACTGATCAGATTAGGCTGGAGATGTCAGCAGGGGCCAGATGAGGGAGTGCCTTACAGGCCACGCAGTAAGGGCAGTCACTGACGGATTCTAAGGAAGGAAGTGATATGACTAGGTTTACATTTTGGTAGGATTTTTCTAGCTACATTGTAGAGGGATTGGAAGAAGGTAAGACTGGAAGCAGAAAAACCAGGTAGGAAGTTGCTGTAATACTTACTTGTTTCATTCTTCCCTCTCGTGACAGATACTTGGATTAACTCATGCCTTCCAGAAATTACCACCACCAAAGATCTCATATTCAACACTCAAACTTCAACATATACAACAGAAATTGATGTCAGTGACAGTACATACTTAACATCATCCCCTTCCTCTGCTCCTGATCTTACTACTGCTCCTGCACCGGCTTCCACTTCTGCTCCACGGAAACGAAAATTAATTTGCATAACAGAAGTTTTTATGGAAACTAGTACTGTAGCTACAGAAAGTGATTCATATACTGAAAGTCAAGCAGCATTCAAGAATGAAGTTGCTGAGTTTGGAGGTAAAAGCTTTATGTGTCTGTATTACGTGTTTATGTATAACAGACAATACATAGAAAATAGCCTGTCTCCAGATTGGACACTGAGACTTGGCAAACATAAATAAAAGCTTAATGCAAACTCAGTTCCCAAAAAGTAATAGAACTTGAGAGATGTAAACAACCTTAATGATTGAACTAAATACTATGAGACTAAAATAGCCTCAAAGGCTTTAAAAATAAATTACTATAGTTCACTATCTGTTAATATGTAGAAGTTCTTTTAAATATGTATCTGTCATGCCTTGCACTAGGAAGTTTGTTCTCCTATAGAGAGTCTTACACTTAATTAGCTTTGCAGAGAGGAAATGAACTCCATCTGTCATACTGTAACTTAGAGAATAGAAGGAAGCCTGAGGGGCAGGGCCAAGGATTCTACAGGCAAGAAGCAAAGTAGCAGATGTGGGCCCAGCATCATAAGTGACCCCATGAGATCACAGAGAAGGCGTTTCTTCTACTCTAGATCTTATTTCAATAATTTGTAAAGATGAATCTTTAAAAGAGCAACACACGACAATGTATCAGTCAACGACCAACAAGCCATGTCTGTTTTCTCCAGGTGTTCCCACGGCTCTGCTAGTGCTTGCTCTCCTCTTCTTTGCTGCTGCAGCTGGGCTCGCAGTCTGCTACGTGAAAAGGTGGGGTTGTTGGCATATTGCTAGTCTTGGAATCTTTGTCATATCCCTATCTTGTGTTTTGCCAGGGTTGTTACTGGCATTCTTGGTCAAACTGGAGATGCCGGTTGTCTTACACTGTAAATTATCTCCTACCTCTCACCTCCCGGCCACCCGATCTTTTCTTTTTTTTTTAAAATTGTTCTGCTTTAAGTGAAAGTTTACAATTCAAGTTAGTCTTTCATACAAAAATTTATACATACATTGTTATGTGACCCTAGCTGCTCTCCCTATACTGTGACAGCACTCTCTTCCTTTCCACCCCGGATTTCCCGTGTCCATTCAACCAGCTCCTGACCCTCTCTGCCTTCTCATCTCACCTCTGGACAGGAGCTGCCCATTTAGTCTCATGTATCTACTTGAGCTAAGAAAGCACACTCTTCACGAGTATCGTTTTATGTCCCGTAGTTCAGTCTAATCTTTGAAGAGTTGCGGGCCACCCAGTCTTGCCTACTATTTCAGCACATGCACTTCATCTAGATTTTAGAAGTAGGTCAAAAGCTGTCCCTTTGAAAATCAAGAAGAAAGAAAGGATTGGCATCTGGGGGAAAATTATATGCTTTATTTGGTCTTTTATTCTTTGTTGTGGTGGCAGGATTGTGAGGTCAGCCTAAAGTTAGGCCTGTGAACTTACTATTTTATCTCAATGA